TGTATTCATTTCAATTTCTCTTCATATTTGAAACAATTTTTAATTCCTTTCAGTTCACAATACAGCCTAAGGCATATGGATCATATTTTTTTCCTTACACCTAGAATCAGCAAAGAAATCGGTCGTCGTGCTTTCAAATTCAAAGCTCCATCAGATTGGAACAACCTTCCTTGCTCACTTAGGTCTATCACTTCTTTTCACATCTTCAAATCACCTTTAATTACACATTTTCAAACATCCTGCTCTTGTTTCTGATTTATCTTTCCTTTTCTCTCTTGGACTCATTCTAGTCATACTTGCTTTCCTTTTGTTCACGTACTGTACTGTATGCATTCACCTTGCATACACTGTGAGTGTGATTGTGTATATAAATATGTATACTGTACTTGTGCATGCATGCAAATGTATTTATATGGGTGTGTAAATGTATGCTTAAGTGTACACAGGCCCACCTCTACGTATGTACTTTCACAGAGGGTTTTCTGATTGTATTTTGATTGTGTAATACTGGCTGGTATAGCGGGTGGCTAGGTTTGGGGAGCATTGTTGGAGTGTGCGTGTGTGTGAGTGTGTGTGTCCTTGTGTTTATATGTTTGGTATTATGTTTTGTATTTACTTTTTATTATGTTTGTATTGCTTATGTTTGTCATTATTTGTAAGGACCCTCTCGAAAATGAGATGGCACATCTCAAGAGGCTATCCTTGAATTAAAGAATAAAGAACAAGGTGCGCAACGAGATCACGTAACTAAAAGAGCGCCAGTCACACCTCAAATGAAGGAAAACAACAGATGTACAATAATGGAGAGCACACTGGACGATGAAAACAGAGACATCTCAACAACTAGTCTAATATTACAGCTCCATACGTTTGAGAGACTGTTCTGTTGACAGCACTTTGTGCACATAAGCATGTTAAACGCCATCCAGTGACAGTGACAAAAGCTTGCAGTGATCTCTGCAATGACAGTCCACCATTACTGTACGTCATCATTCATTTGCTGAATCTGTCTTCATTGCACCTCGTCGCATTTACCTTTAGACTACGCAAAACGTCTTTCATCTCCCACAAGTTTTTAAAGCTTTTTTGGAATATTTAGAGATTATTTCACATTTGTGGTGTTTCTATGCAGATATTTTATGCACAAATGAGCGTAAAAAGAGGTGGATGGAAACACACCTGTTGATGATAAAAGATGCTTTAGTTGTGTTTATGTTGTTGTTGTTTCAAATGTATAGGCTGCACTCTGGTTATGGACTCGCACTTTTTATAGTTCCTTTCTAGTTGTCTGACCACTCAAAGTGCTTTTGACACTACAGAGTCACATTCACTCATTCACACACACATTCACACACTGGTGGCTGAGGCTACCATACAGTACAAACTGCCACCTGCTACTCAGTTTAGACGTTCACACGCACAGCCACTGTGAGCAATTTGGGGTTCAGTATCTTGCCCAAGAATACTGTGATGACCCGCCGCCCCACTCTGGTCCTGGTTTGTATGAATTTATGGCATCTAGTAAGACCGTGCATAATAATATGATAACATCCATGACACACTAATAAAAATGAAATTTCTTCTTCATATAAAGTTTGTCTTCGGAACAGCACCAGAGGAAACTTCATGTGGTCATTACGATCCTGAGAGTTCATCCTCTGGGGAGCAGGAGCTTCTGGGTCCAGATCTTTGAATCCGCCCACCACCATGACATGCAACAGCAGTTTCTTAGATGAAAACTGACTGACCGCAGCGGGGGGGACTAACGATTATCCAGTCAGCGTCACATGTGGGACTAACGCCATTGTCAAACTGTTGATGAAAACAACAAGAGTGACCGCAATAGACAAGATAAATGCTGCTATCGAAGCTGTTCTAAATCAACATGTTGTCTCACATCATTACTTCGGTCCACGCCACTCTTAAAACTGTGGTAGTAGTACCAGTATGTTGGCATGGCCACACATCATGGGGTCTTAAATTAATGTCAGAGTCATGTGGATATGTTAATGAAGAAGATGGAAAGAGAGTAGGAATGTTTTCATCACGTATTTTCTTCTGCAATATGACATTTTGTCCAGACGGTGGTGTTTCAGGAAAAAAAGGTCAGGACGTCAAAGTCTGTTTCCCAAACCTGAGCCTGCTCCTTTAAACTCCTGGAGGTGTTCGACTTCAGACGGAGGTTTTATTGTTTTACAGTTTGAGGTGATTTTGTTTCTTCTGGTTGTTTGTTCAGCAGTTTGAAGCTTCTCCTCGTTGTCAGTAATGACGTGCTGAGCACTCTATTAGAGGAAAGTGGAGCAGCAAAGCCTCATGGGAAGAAAATGACGCTAGGTAATTTTCTGTGTGTGTGTGTGTGTAGAAGCTGGAGTTGTAAACAGAGAAAGGAGTAAAAAGAAGAAGAAGAAGAAGAAGAAGAAGAAGAAGAAGAGGACTCCCCTCAGAAATACACACATCTCTTTTTGCTGCCTGTGTGTTTTGTAACATTTAGCTGAAATATGACACACACACACACACACACACACACACACACACATCTCATCTATTTTAGTCAAACTGTGTCAATTTTGGGACCTCATAGTGATTCAGTTTTGTCTTTTGCCAAAAATGTTTAGTTTTAGTCAGAAACTAAAAGACAAAAAAGTTAAGTCTTATTTTTATCCACATTTTTAATTTCAATATCTTATTTTTAAGCATTCTGAGGTGACGGCTGTCTCCATCTTTGTGTACAGTTACAATGGTGACGTCCTGAAATGTCTTGCTTTGTTTGCAAAGTCTGATTTGTGATATAAATAATGCCTTATTATCTGTCAAATAAATATTCAAATATTTAGTTTACTGTCACCGAAGACAACAAACAGCAAATATAGACATGTGAGAAGCTGGAAACAGGTTTTGTATTTTCTTTTTATAAAATATGACCAAAAAAAGATACACTGATAATCAGACTTGTTGATTAATCATTGCAGCTCTATTTCCTTTTTTTGAAGATGTGTTGATGTGAATCCTGGAAGTTTATGAACGTGTATTTTCAATCTTTTATTTATATAACGTAAAGTTTCCCACCAGAGAAACATTTCTCTGGCTCAGTGTTGAGTTTTCAATATCATCTGTTTCACATCAGAAATCTCTAATCAATAAGAAATGTTCTGCTGATCAAACGTCTGACCGTCCTGATTTCTGCCTCCGTCTCCCGACCGCCCGTCAGGCCTCCATCTGTCAGAGCTGGAAACAGTTCTGAGGGAAAACTCTGACTCTGGATCAGCTGGTGGTTCCAGGAGAGTAACTCCTGCGTTCCACGTGTCAGCGTCGGCTGATTGGATCCAGGAGGGCAGAAGTCATTGATTAGCCTTGGCAGAATAATTAGGGAGCGGATCAGACTGAGGCTGATGCTTCAATTAATCTGCAGGGTTTAATTTAACCATCAGACGGAGCTCTGCACAGCTGGAAGAATGAGTTCAGTTTCCAGTTTCACTTCCTGTTAGAAGCGCCTCGCGTCACTGATTCACTGACGGCTGCAACAGAAGCTTCTCAACGTTTATTCTTGATCTTTGGGAACACTTGGTGAAACTCGACAGTCTGCTACTCGATTCTCAGAGGTTTCAACCACATCCAGTCATCTAGGAAATAAATTATCATGTGTTCGGATATCACACATCGTTCACTGACAGTCTGCAGTTGTCAGGAACCTGCACAGCCTCTGTCAGACGCGTCACGTCAATAGAAACCTAGGGGGCACGTGCCCCCTCAGATTTGAGGGATGATTTTTTTTTTTCAACCAATTTTATTTTACTTACTTTACCTTACTTATTATTTTACCATCTAGCTATGATCAGTGGTCATATTGAGTGAAATGTATTCTAAATAATCTCCTTCATCTCAGGCCCATTTAGTGGCCGTAACTTGCATAAAATGCATAAATGGTAATTTACGCATTATTTATTAGGATTTAGGGGAGATTTCCTGTTAGTAGTGATCACACACGGCATCAGAGCAACCATCTTGATAATAAACGATCTTTGGCCGATCATGTGACCGCTCACAGCTTTCCCATTGGATTTTAGCCACCCGGGTCTCCCACTGGACAGCCGATCTTACCGGCTTGACATCTAGGCTTCCGGGTAAGCTATAAACACACCGATGGGATTGATGTCAAGGCTGAAGTGTCCTGCTTTCATTAAAAAAAGAATTACATCGCTCTTATTTTCCGTTCTGGAAATAGACGCGAAAGAGTACGACTATACCCCCCCCAACCCCCGGTATCGCCGGCGATGACGGCGATCTAACCTAAGGGTTAACGTTAGCCTATAATGTCTGGACTATAATGTTTGCCTGACTTAACAGCTACTAGTAGCCTAGGGAGTATCCATGGAAGTATCAGAAAAACTTGGGACGGGATTTATTTCGGTGTATCTGTGTTTCAACGTTAGGCCACCTAACAAGATGGGTGAGTGTGTATGATTGTGTCCTTTTTTATTGCCTTGGCACGCCCAGTTGCCAATAACATTGGCTATCGTTATCTACGTCACGTTACGTTTTGCTGTCAGTAGTGGGAACCGGCCTGGGTTCACGTTTGTGTGTATTAATGTTAGTGTGTAGCCAAATATTTTATGCAATACAATAAGCTTAGCTATGTTTGCAATATTTTCCTAGCTGCTAGGGTTTGTTTGAGAAAAACTCCTTTCCTCCTTACACAAAATAGTTTACATGGCAAGGTGTAGATGCATTAAGTGTGTGTGTGTGTGTGTGTGTGTGTCTGGACGGGGGGGTCGGCTTTGAGTTTGGGCCCTATCCAACCTCAAGGCGTTGTGCAGCAGGGGCTCAAAATAAGTGATTTGAGGGCATCCCCCCAAAAAATTCGTGCGTGCGCATAGCGCACGAACCCAATCCACTGTGCCCCCTCACATTTTGGGGTTGCATGACGCCCCTGGCCTCTGTGTTCATTATAATAATGAGGAATATTATTATTATCATGGTAGAATCCAACAGCAGCGACTCACCGATGAAGCCGAGCTGAGAAAACTCGAGGATCATCCATTCCTCCGACGGCTGCTGCAGTGCGAAGTTCTTCATGGTGGTGAAGTAGTTCGGACGGGCAACGATATCATCCTCCAGCTGTGACAGAGATAGCGACAGAAAGAGGTTAAAGAAGTATTCGGATCTTTTACTTCGGTAAAAGACCAAATACTAAAACGTGTAAATACTCCTTCACAAGTAAACGTCCTGCATTTAAAGCTCTAACTCTAACCACGCAGCTGTAGTTCCTTAAACTTAAAGAGAAACTTAATTTAGTTAATTTGTTTATGTTTTCACTAACTTTATACTTAAAGTTTTGTGGGAATAATCATTTGAAAATGCATAGTTCTGATTTTTTTTTTAAAGTTGTATGAGCTACTTATCCACAGTCAGTACATAAACTCTAAAAAATGCTAGGTTTAATTTAACCCAACTTGGGTTTGTTCCTGTGACTCAGCGCCGGCTCAAATATGGATCAAAGAAGCGTTGGGTTACTGTGACCCAGGATGTTGGGTTGATTGGACACCCCAGTGTTACACAAATATCCTCCTGAGAAAGAGGGGTACACAGGTACATGAATATATATTTTCTTGGTTTATTTTTATTATGAACATGGGCTACAGGTGTGGCATGTCACATGACTGGCTCAGGCAGCACTATGGGTATTTAAGATGCCAACATACTGTCATGTATGAGAAGTCTGAGGAAGAGTCGTGCGGCTCCAGACGTCACACTGCATTAAAACCCTTGTAAACGGCAGCTACTTGGTGTGCAGACTTTTTTACTTTGCCAGATGTGTCTTTGGTCCAGCACCCGCTCTGTTGGATGTTGGGACATGTGTGTAATTTGTACTGTTTTTTATTGGACAAGCGAGCATGCTGGGTCAAAGTAATCCAGCACTGGGTTACTTTGACCCAGCGCTGACCTTTGAATGCTACGGGTGGACTGTAGAGGGTGACACGGGAGTGGATTTTCAGTCCTGTCCCATCCCACTCCCACAAAAATAATCCAATCCCATCCCAATCCCACGAAAAAAAAAAAAAAATCCTGTCTCGTCCCAATCCCACAAGAATGACTCCTGTCCCATCCTGCTCCCGTGTGAATTTTACACGTCTTACAAGCAGCGTACGAAGATTTAACGCTGTCACTCTCAAGTCTTTCTTCAGTACTCCAGACTTGCCCGAAAGCTCTGTCAGGGTCATTTTCCTTCACTTTTACTTGTAACTCTGCCTTCCCTAATGGTGCATTCATTTTGTACTCGGAGGTCGGAAATTCCCAGTTCCCAGTTGGAAGTTCAAACTCGAACGCACCCTGAGATTGGATTTCCAACTCGGAGCAACCGCATCAACCCCGACTTACGAATTCAAGATGGCTGCCGGTACGTCATGCGCTGGTCAGGTGGCTGGTTGCTGTTTGGTTGCAGCCAGCCACTTACAGGAGAGAATAAAAAAGAATAAAACAAGAAGATCGACCAGCTTTATATTAAAAATAAGGACATGTATTCATTGTGGAACTGCATATTTGTATATAAAGACTTGACTGCTATTATTATGATTCCCAGTCCCGCCCGCTCCAGTTGACTTTTTTCCCATCCTGTCCCAATCACGTGACGGATAGTGAAACTGATTCCCATTCCGTGGGAATCCCACAGGAATCACGTACCCTGTGGGACTTCTGAAAAAATGTCAGCCTCTAGTGGATTGTATAAACTCAAGTTTTTATTTTAAAAGACTACTGGTGTTTCTACATTTTTCTCTCCTATTATATCTCATATGTACATTAAATTATTGCTGACCAAATTCCACGGTGGCTCATATATTTTGACATTTTAGCACCTTCTAGAGTTTCCATTCATTTTTATATAGTATATTGATATGGCTTTGTTAAATGTGGTCCCTTATGACTTCAAGTCATCATGAACTTTCACATTTTTTGGGTTCTTCGTTCACTGTGACGATGTAAGAGAAAATGAAAGGTTTCTTCATAAATTCAGCGTAAAGTGGGGGGAGCAGTTGATATGTCTTCCTTTAATGCAAGATTTAATATATTCTATGAAACATAATGTAAGGGCAAAAACTCAGAGGAAAGCAATGCTCTTAAAAACTCACACAACACGTCACATTAGGTCAAACGAGGGAGTCGGTGCCCTTAACTCTTCAAACTGTCTATGATGCATGTCACTATTTTTCATCTTGGAAAAGAGGATTAAGTTCCCGGAAATAATACAAAGTTAAGGATGGGACAGTGTAACAGAGAGAGCTGCCTAAAAACGTTCCCACAGAGGTGTCAGATCAGAAAACACTCACAGGGAATAACAATGGTTTAGATAAACGTGTCACAGATCAACAGAAAACAGCGTCGCAAATGGGAGCGAAACCCTTAAAACAACAGTCTCACACAAATCACATTTAAAGGCAGAAGACACATGAGGATTTGTTATTTCATTATTAACCTAATTATTTCATTATTTTACAGTAAGAACTTCCTGATCCTGAAGCCCTCAGCTCGGCAGACAGCGCTCTGATCATTCAGCTCCTTGACAGACATTTACATCCTTTACTTTTATCACAGGGGAGTCGACATGGAGTAATTACTTCTCCTCCTCCACCTCCTCCAACCATCACTACACACCACAGAGGAAAAACTCTGCAAAGTTCAGAGTGAGTTTAGGTGTCAAAACACGGAGTCTGGCTCTGTGTTCCTGTCAAAACGCTTGGTGTGGGAGCAGCTGAAGCTCCAGCAGAGATGATGGCAGGGAAGTTTTCTCCATCACCGGAGAAACAGCCAGAAAAATAACACAGTTCAGCTCTGGCAGGGAGAGCTGCGTTCAAGGACAAAGCTGCGGATCACAACAGGCCTTCACACCAAGATCCAGACTGCGAAAATCACTGGAAACTGTTTACTGTCAGAGAGCTGAGCTGAAAACGCTGCTCATTTCCATCTCACTGAGGAAACTCAAGAATCCTCCTTTATTTTTAACTCCCAACATCCATCACCCGTCTGTTTACATTTCTACCTTTCTCTGCTTCTCTTTGTTCCTGCTGTCACTGAAGAAATGTTCCTTATTTTACTCTGATTCCACAACAGGAACTTTTAAGGAACTTAATTTACATTAAACCAGAGGATCCATTTGGTCTCTGGCCTCCAGATAGTGTCAGATCTATGTATCAAGTTGGTGTTTGTAGCGCTTAACGTTGCTGGCTGGTGAAGTACGCGAGATATTTTCCATTTTTGAAAACCTGAAACAGACACCACTGTTTGATGTTTTGCAGGTTTTTGTTTGAACTCAGAGATTTAATGAGCTGTGGAGACAGCCATTTGAGACAGTGACGAGGAATTAAAAGATATATGAAAAGATCTGTATCAAACAGTTGACTTAAACACCAAACTCTGATAATAAAATATAAAAAATAAAAATTCATGCATCCAGATATGGACCTTTGCCACATGCCATTCTCTGTCTGTCTTTCTCCCCTCATTTCCTGCCATCCAGGGTCCAAAATTAACTTTTTGGTCTACCTACTGCAGCTCGTTGTGTTTCGGCATTGTCGTGATTAATCATAAATCAAACTCGCGGCCGCTGCTGCAAGGACACAGCCTTTGCACATGGAGCATCTTGTGTCTTTGAATTATATTTTGCTATTTTTGTGGAGGTGGACGAGCTGATTAAAGCTGCTGCTTTTGAGCTGGTGGATGTTTTTTTGCTGTTTTATGTTCCCTCTCTCTAAAATCAGATTTTTAGGGACAAAGGTGAATAAAATCTGTCAACACGTGAGAGACGTCTTCCTTTATTAACCTTCAACAAGTGAACTCAGGTGCAGTTCACCACCTGATGGAGTTTTTTCACACTCTGGAATGTTTTCTCTCCCTCAGGTGTCGGACTGAGTCTGCCGTCTGTTTCTTCTTCTTTTCATCTTTAAAGGGAACAAAGACTTGTGTGATGAAGCCACAGAGACACCTCCATTAACGTGCCCGTCAGTCTCACCACACTGCAACAGTTTCATCAGCTTCATACCACTGGTGGGATTACATCAGAGACACTTTTTATTTTAATGGCCGTCCTGATTTATTAGAGTCAGTACGGAGACATCAGGTGTAACTGTCGACTCATGCTGCGGAGATTTTACACCGTGAACATGTTTAGTCACTTCATGTGGTGAGAGGATCATATTGTACTGCTGCAAATTCAGCATCATGTCAGGAGCACTGAGAGATATTTAAGATATTTAATATTTATTTAACAAGAAAGTCAGATGTTTCATGTCTCTACAAAATCATCACCTGATTTTCTCTTTTGCTTCCAAAGGACAAGAGTCATGATTGCTACGACCTCTGGAGGGCGCTGTCACTTCAGCCCATTTCTGACCAAAGATTCGCGATGAGACGAGTTGAAACATGCGACTACAACATTCTGTTCTGCAATGTTCTGAAACGGTTTCATCTCGTTGTTAATCTTTGGTCTGAACTGGGCTTTAAACATAATCACGTCTGATTTTGGGACATTTGCTGATACAGCTGGTGTCGTTTTTGCTCGCTTATATTTATTTGGAAAGTTAAATAAACTAGAGCTTTGATTCTCAGTTCAAATCCGAGTTTCCGGGTTCGGACTGAGCTGTAATTTCTCAAAATTGCCATCAACCTATTAAAATTGATGGAAATACTGAGATTTTGAGTTACATAATTTGACAAAAAATTAGAATTAGGGGTCATTTGCTCACATACTGTGCACATGCTCAGATGACACATGAAACTGGCATGTCATGAGTTGCATTGGACTGGAGGGAAAACAAGAGATAGAGAGGGGCTGTGAGGTGACTTGGTTGGCAGTGTTTGCCTCTGCTTCACCTGCAGTGGGAAAGATGTGCGACGACAGACTTTTGTAATAACAGAAAGAAGAGACAAAGATGAAGTGGTGCCTTCAGCTTTTATTAAATGTTTTATTATTAAAACTAGAATTACCGTCTTCACGGTTGTATGCCTCTGAGGACAAGCTAAGTTGCACTGACTGTTTGCATGCATGTCTGAGAAAACATTGATGCTTTACACACAGTGGATCTGGACAATGGACACCCAGTATCTGACCAAATGTCTCCCCTTCTGTTCCATGATGCTGAATAATGGACAGAAAAGTGTTTTTGGATAACATTATGATGTCACAGTGAAGCTGACCTTTGACCTTTTGGATATTAAATGTCATCACGTCATCATTTTGTCCAGTTAGACATGTCTGCCATAATAAGCATAAGCTTTCTGAGTTATGGACCAAAAACAAGGTCAAAAAGAAAGGGTTGTGAGGTCACAGTGACCTTGACCTTTGGCTTTTGACTAACAAAATCTAACCAGTTCTTCCTTTAGTTCAAGTGGACGTTTGTGCCAAATTTGCCGAAACTCCCTCAAAGCATTCTCGAGATGTCACTTTCCCGAGAATGAGACGGATGCAAAGCCACAGTAAACTTTGACCAATGACCACCAAAAAGTAATGAGTTCATCTCTTAATCCAAGTGGATGTTTGTGCCAATTTTGAAGAATTCCCTTGAAGGTGTTCTTGAGATACCCCGTTCAAAAGCATGAGATGGACAAGGTCACAGTGACCTTGACCTTTGGCCTTTGACCAACAAAATCTAATGAGTTCATTGTTGAGTCCAAGCAGACGTCTATGCCACTTTTGACGAACGTCCTTCCAGGCGTTCGTAAGTAATCGTGTTCACAACAATGGGGTGGACGGACTGCTGAAAACATAATACCTCTGGCCACGGCTGTTGCAGATGCCGATTTTTTTAAATCTTTTTTTGTTCTTTTTTTTTTCCCTCCGTGGAAATTTGAGTTTTAAATCAGGCTCGGGTCAGGCCTGGACAGAAACTATGCAGGTTCATGGAGGGTTGGGTTTGACGTTTTCAATCAAAGCTCTAAACTGAATGAATAAAAAATCTCAATTAGTAAAATGAAATTTTGTGATTTATTTACTTTTAAAAAATGCACATAGTTTGGTTGGTAGCAAACATTTCTTAGGTGTTGTTTTTTTTATGACACAATAATGTCACAGATAATACATTCAGTTTAATATCCATTTTTTCACAACACTGACTCAGTACGATAACAAGATCATGTCCCCATTCTGTTTCATAATAACACTGTTTTTATTTACTAATTAATTCCAAGTGCTGTTAGTAATTTTTTTAAATTTCTGTTACACTTCTTGCAGATGTGTCACATTAAAATCCTACCAGGAAATACAGGAATGTAAGGCTTTTATTCTGACAGTGTTTTCTCTCCTACCTGGACGTAGTAAGTTCCTTTAGACTGAGCGTACATCATCAGGAAACAGTAGTCCAGGTTCTGCTTCGTCCTCCACCTGCAGGAGGAGGAGGAGGAGGAGGAGGAGGAGGAGGAGGAGGAGGGGCGAAAAATGATGTAGAAAAGCAGAAAAAAAAAGATGAAGCAGGAGCAGTGAGGAGTGAAGAAAAATGAGGAGGGGAGGAAAGAAGGAGAAAGAGGAAGAGGAGGAAGACAAATGTTAGCAACAAGAAAAACTGTTTACCGTCCTCTAATACACACATTTACACACTCACAAACACACACACACACACACACACACACAGGAAGCTGTAATAACAGGCTGCTCAGTGGATAATCAGAAAAATGCCACCAGGGACAAAAGATTCAATGAGCCATGAGATCACACACACACACACACACACACACACACACACAAACAACCACGCACACACAGCGACTGTACACACACTGATATGGAGGGATCCTCCAAGAATAACCAGTTGAGCAGCTTTGGAGGACACAACGCTGCATCATCATCACCATCTTCGTTGTTTCAACATGTCCTGTCCTTCTCTTTATCACCATCTGCAGCTGCATTTAGCAGCACACTAGTCGTTAAGTAAAAGTACTGGTAACACGAAGTAGAAATACTCCATTACAAGTAAAAGTCCTGCCTTCCAAACCCTGCTGAGGTAAAAGTACAGAAGTGCTCTGAGTTTCAGAGTTGCGAAAAAATCTAGGAGTAATGGAAAACAGTTTTTATTGTTTAAAGTTCCAAATAATTTACCAAAAAAGATCTAAATAGGGATGAAAATAAAGCATAATGAAAAAATTATATACAGGTAAAAAAACTATTATGTATATTACAATGGACTGAAATGAGACCACACTGAAAGATAAAAGTTGGTGTACGATCACTGAGACAAAGAGACCATCATGAATCACACAAGAAGAAAAAATGTAAATTTAGACGCTGCAGGACGGAAAGAGAAACCGGATAACAACAACAGATGATAACCAGCAGCTCTTCTTTTTCTTATTTGCATCATTTCAGCGTGTCTCTGAACATATTTACATTCAGAACAGGAGCATCGTCACTACCATCAGTGGAATCACCTGCGGAGATGCTGCATATATTGAACAATGTTCCTGCTGCCACAAATACAGCAGCCAGATAAAATATCTGCTGTTTCTTTCATGAAGATTGGAGGGATTAAAGATTTAACGCCACATGTTTCCAACGACACCTTCGGCCAGTGTGATGGAAAAAATCCCGCAGGTTCATAAACACCAGTCGGTCCCAGAAAGTGCACAAAGCAATCAGCAGCGAATTGAATCAGTGTGTGTTCAGACGAGCTCAGTAAACAGCCGAGCGGCTCTACGACAGAACAAACACACGGCTCAATGTTTACAGGGAACTCAGGTGTTTCTGCTCAGAGCATCGCAGCTGAGGAGAGTCTACAACATGCTTCATCGATTTTTAAGGAAGAAGTACTCTGATTTTTTTAACTTAAGTAAAAGAACTAATACCAAAGTGCAGGAACACTCTGTTAGAAGTAAAAGTTCTGCATTCAAAACTTCACTTAGGCAAAAATACAAAAGAATTGGCATTAAAGAGGCACTTCACTGCTGGAAACATGACCTTTTAATAAAACTAGGATGTCTCTGGGAGAAAACCTACAACTACCAGAATGCACTGCGCTGTACCGGACCAATAAAAGCTCCTGCTGGTTAGTGATGTAATGCGAACACGTGGGTTTGAAACAATGGCAGCTGGCTGATAAGAAACGATCTCTTACAGTAAACGATAAGGTAAAACATGTTTCTGAGGTGAGAAATAGGAATAGAATCTTGGTTTATATTTGCTCAGCGCTGCTTAGTTTTACCGATTGATCTCAGTTTTTCAGCCTCCATTTTCACTGTGCAGGAAACAGTATGGCGCCCACTTCCTGTTCACACACTGTTGCTATTCAAATAAACACAAGAAGTTTGTGCTCTAGAGAAAGGATCAGCACTCAGTGAATAACCTCCTAAGCCCTATGATAAGCTAATATGGCAAGGCTTAACTATACAGACCAGTGAGCCGTGAACGTCTTTGGGGTCATCGGAAGGGAACCTCCTTTCACCAGTGTTTCGTCTAGTTGGTCTCACGACACCTCCAGGAGGCTAGACAGTGATCTCTGGCGTCCCAGAGACACTCCCCTAATGCCAGGTCTCACTGCTCCCCACACCGACCCAATAACCCCCTTTACCTTACTTACACATGGCTTTCTCAGCCCAAACAGCACTGCCACCTTCAACCAAACCCAGGCTCCGTTTATGCGAGCTCCAGGTAGAGACAGTGCTGATACTACCTTTCCTAGCACATTCACCATACTCTATTTCACACGTTACATATCATAACTACAATATAAGCTAAAGTTAAAGGAGATAAATAAACTAACAGGATCAGCAAACACACTCACCTTGCCGCATGGTCTCAAACAAAAGAGATTCAAATAGGCCACTCCCACACTTAAATACTTCCTCTTCCTGGATTTCCTCCTGAGAGGAAGTGGATCTCTCCACATGATCTCAAGGAGTTATGTACCCTGCTTAGTAGTTCCCCCTGCTGGCCCCCAACTGACATTATTCCTCGTCATCCAAATGCACTGACTAGCTCTGGCTGCTTCATCTGACATTTCCTTCACTGTCTTCCTCAAACTCTGTCCCCGCACTCCGAGTTCCCCCAGGAGCAAGACAGCTGATCTTGCTATGAATCCCCTACACCCCACTTCCACTGGACAAATCCTAGTTTTCCATCCTCGCTGCTCAGCTTCTGCTCCTAAGTCTGCATATCTAAGCTTTTTTCTAAGAACTAATTAGAATTAAACATGACACTACAATATGTTTCTTAAGAACATTTTAGGCAAGGAATATAATGTATTGACATTATCTTGATTTATATTCAATCAGCACAGACTAGTTTTCCCGTCTGATTGGATGTCCCGTCTGCAAGTCTGGTTGTGTGTCTCTTGATCTGCTTCTATTCTCTATATGTTTTGTGTCCACGGCGGCGGCATGGGTGATAGGCTATGTGAAAATGCACACAAACAATACACATACTGCCCAAGTTGTTTTGATACAAAGCTGGTTGAAAATCGGCGAAGTATCAGTTTAAATATGCTTAAATTCACCATGTTCCTGCAGCAGAGGTAAGTGCAAAGAAGCCCTGCCGCTAGTTAGCTCCCACCCCCAGGTGGTAGGTAGTGCAGAGCGACTAAGGTGAGCTAACCAGCGAGGTCGAAGGATGAGTAGTGGGCACTATGTTTCACTATGAAAGTCATTTACATCACAAAACATTAAACTATCACCACCTCTTGATGGATAGTGTTTGAAAATGTGGTGCTAAAGCTCACTGAGTCAGTGGAGCGCTGGACTAAAAGGAAGGTCTCTCGTACATATTTCATGTCATTTCATGTTTTTTCTAAAATTTATCCAGTTAGTTAACTGGTTACTGACACCCCTGACCTGAAACAACCATTACCATCCCATAAGGCTCTGCTGCAATAGAAACGTTGTTCACTCTTCCAGTGAACAGGACAAACCTCAGATACGACTTGGCAACTGGAGATATTTCTAAACCGCTCAGCTCGTACAATCCTTCGACTCAGATATGAGCCAGAAAGCAAAAGTAATGCCAGCAGGACTCAACCAACCTATGACCAATGAGAGCTTTACAATGAACAAAATGCTTGGATATAAATCAATAAATATATTTACAGATAGAGTTTTTACATGTTGTTGCTTCTCTGTCTTTTGCTGAGGTAAATACACTGGTTGCTTTTAGTTCTAAATGTCTGGACCTTGGACACAGTGGGACAACATGGATCAACAAACATGATCCTGTTTATATCTGGCTTCATCTGAGGCCACTGACCCTTATCATTATACACTGAGTTTCCTGGTGTTCAGTCTGATGGAAACATTAATCTCCACCTTGCACAATGTAATAACTTCTTGCACTTTTACCGAAACTATTTATTCAACGTAATAACTTGACATATATTACAAGAAAACAAACAAAATCCAATGCTTGAACGGAATACTAAAGATTCATTTTCAGAAAACAGTTTTTACGATATATATAGCATCATTTTTTATTACACAAAAATTCAGGTGTGAAACCCCACATTAATTGAATAAATTAACCCATTTTTCACCCACCTCTTCTTTAGATGATGTCTAAACATTTAACATTTTTCTAATTAAGAATTACAAGTCAAAGATTTCAGTTTCTGACAAAGTATTCCCCACATCCTTCAAATATTACACATGTTGAAGTAGTCAATATCTTTGTTGTTGATGTTTTGTCTTTGGCCCTGTTCCTGAGGTGGATTCAGGGAAGGTTTTCTTTACTTTAGTGTATAAAACACTTAAAATACACACAAAGGAACAATCTGCAATCACTGTTTGTGGTTTGCACTTGAATGGCAAACTATAAAAGTAAATGATCAGGGTACAATTTGATCTTCTGGACCTTGGACGTTCAGGGACATTGGAGAAAAGTCAACAAATACGTCTAACTTTCCAGAGGCCTGATTGGCTGCTGGTGTTGTCGTCCTGGTTATATGTGAGGGAGCTGGCTGGATTTTATCTCAGTGCATTCTGATCACCTGGTGTTCAGTCTGTTGGTACATTTGCACTTTGTGAGACTCTCACTGATTGAGGGGAGAAACATGGGGAACTCTCAGACTTACACACAAGAGGACTTCGACAGGTATTCTCTTGAGCTTTATCAAACTACCTTGCAGCACCCATGCTTCCAGCCAGACGTAGGCATAGACGAGTCTCTGCTGAAATATTCTGGGATCAACTCTAACGCTGTGCTGCAGTCTTACTCCAATGAGCTGGTCAGCATGGTGCCAGATTATGTCGAGAAGTTTGGATCTAGTTTGGGTGCGGTGACTTCATTTCCAAATGCTGTTGGACTCGGAGCACTGGTGATATCCATGATCATGGAACTCATCATTAAGATCAACACTGAAACAACTGAAGATTCATACAGCATGTTCCGACGTGTTTTTGGTGAAGAGA